TATAAATGGTGCAATGGTGACATTAAAAGACGGTTGACACAAACTCACTACCATTACAGTATGCTCCTCACTTAGCAACGAATTTGTTTAACGACGTGGTCTCAGGAATGGAACTTCGTCATTAAGTGAGGAGAGGCTGTATTTATTCGCACAAAAATATTTTTATTCACAAAAATGTAAAAGATTTACTGTTACACATTATTGTAATAGTGTAAATAATGTCAGCGCATCTGTGAACAAATATTAGACCGACCAGGTGGACATGTTGGATGCGTGATGTGATTTGTTTACTCTGGAATACAGTGGACCCCCGGTTAACGAACTTTTTTCATTCCAGAAGTATGTTCAGGTGCCTGTACTGACCGAATTTTTTCCCATAAGGAATATTGTGAAGTAGATTAGTCCATTTCAGACCCCCAAACATACACGTACAAACGCACTTACATAAATACACTTACATAATTGGTCGCATTTGGAGGTGATCGTTAAGCGGGGGTCCACTGTATTGGCAAAAATTTAATATTTCTTTTATTATTGATTTTAATAATCCCCTACTTTGAGATCAGTTCCAAGCTACTTCCAGTCCTGAAACTAATCAAAATCTATTCTATTTCTGTAACATATCTTCCATTTTATCAGTCGATACCAAGAAACTGAGAATACAATCATAAAAACCATCCGAAAATACACCACAAAATCTATTTTCAACCAAAAACACAAGTTTTTTTTTTTTTACTCATTTTGCAATACATTGGGCAGGATTATTTTTGCATGGTGCACACTTATTGCATTGACCCATTCTCTCATATACAGTAGAACCTCAAATTTCGAACGTATCACTTATCGAACGTTTCAAAAATAGAATCCTTTTCTCGAACCAACTTTGTCCCTATTATCGAACGCGCCCCTATTTTTGGACCGCCGGGTACCGGACCTGTCCGCCAGCCCGCTCTGTCCATGCCCCTGCGCAGGCACTGTGAGCCAGTCTGGCTTTGTTGTTGCTTGAGTGAACACTAACCTGCGCTCTCATTCAAACATTTTACGATTATTTCATTGTGTTTAGTGCTTGTGGGACTGTGAAATAAGCCACCATGGGCCCAAAGAAACTTGCTAGCGGTACCCCTGTGGTAAAGAAAGTGAGAAACACCATAGATGTGAAGAAGGAAATAATACAGAAGTATGAGAGTGGTGTGAGACTTGCTGAGCTTGCCAGGATGTATGGGAAAAACAAGTCAACCATCGGTTCTATCCTGGCAAAGAAAGAACAAATCAAGGAAGCTGATGTTGCAAAAGGTGTTAATATGTTAACCAAAAAAAGACCACAAATAGTTGAAGAGGTTGAGAAGTTGTTGCTGGCGTGGATCAAGGATAAAGAGATTGCAGGTGATTGTGTTTCAGAGACAATTATTTGCCTGGAACCAGTTCAGTGACAGAACCATGTCCCATTTTAGGGAATTGTTAAAGAGGTGCCAGAAACAGAGGACTGTAGACAGTTATTTTGTGAGACAGGGGTCCAATGGCTCTCAAGCTGGTCCTAGTGGCATTAAAAGACAGAGAAGGGAAGTAACCCCAGAGAGGGCTTTACCTGAAGTCCTCATGGAGGGGGATTCTCCTTCCAAACACTAACCCCAGCTCCCTCTCTCCTCCTCTCTATCTTCCAGATGCCATCACCAATCTTCAATAAAGGTAAGTAAAAATGTTATTTTATATTTATATACATAATTGAACACTATAGTATTTGTTGTGTGTATGTAAAAGTGTAATTAATCTCTCTAAAATGTATTTTTTTGTGAATATTTTTGGGTTTCTGGAATGAATTAATTGTATTTCCATTATTTCTTATGGGAAATATTGCTTCGATTTTCAGACTTTTCGAATTTAGAACTAGCTCCTGGAACAGATTAAGTTCGATATTTGAGGTTCCACTATATAGGCCCAAATTTACCACACATAGCTTATCTGAATGAGCTGAGCTCATTCAGATAATTATGAATGAGCTGAGCTCATTGAGAACTATGGCACTGACACTGGCTTCAAAGCCTTTGAACTATGGCGTGGACCCTGAAAAGGCTAAAATTCCACGTCTCCGAGGTACATCATCATCAATAAGTGTAATCTGTTTTAGATGTGCCAGAGTTCTCCCCAGTTATGTCTATGAGATGTTAATTCTGGACATTACCTGTGAAATTTGTAGTACATAATTTCTCACAAATATAATACATGACCATAAGTCAATGATTATTGTTGCATCAATTACTTTTACTAACATAATCAATGCTATATGAAAATGCTACGTTATTTTACTGTTTATAATGCTAATCATTGTTTATTTGTGAATACCTGCTAATAACTACAGAAACAGAGCTAAGCTTGTTGCATCATCACTTCAGTTATTTGTATTATAATCATAACTAGGCACTTGACCCACAAGGGCAGTTATTTGTAGCTTCAGAATTAGAGCTAAGCTTGTGGTGCCATGACTTCAGTTGTTCATGCTACTGGAACAGAGCTAAACTTGTGGTGATGTTCTGTTACTTGTTTCAAGTTCCTAGTTGTTTCAGGTTCCTAGTTGTTTCCAGTTCCTAGCTTTTTCAAGTTCCTAGTTGTTTCCAGTTACTAGTTGTTTCCAGTTCCTAGTTTTTTCCAGTTCCTATTTTTTTCCAGTTCCTAGTTGTTTCAAGTTCCTAGTTACTTCAAGTTTTTACTTGTTTCCAGTTCCTAGTTGTTTCCAGTTCCTACTTGTTTCCAGTTCCTAGTTGTTTCCAGATCCTAGTAGTTTTATCACTACCTCCTCTCGTATATGTGAAAGAATGTGCATCATCAACTCCCACCTATAATGACATTAAAGCATTTCTGAATAAACACAGTCTGTTGCTGGTAGTTGTCGATTTTTTTTTGTTTTCAATTTTTCTTGAAATCAGTGTAAATATTGAATAATATAATATTGTTTGATTAAAAAAATGTAGTGCTGGTGTGACTTTTGGAAAATTTTCCAGCCACAAGAGAACCAGCACACAGGTTGGAGGGTTGCGTCGAAATGTGACGTAGTCTAAAATAATTGGAGTAATAGAGAAAAAATCTGGTTAATCATGCCTGATAACGAGAGTGTATTGGCACAAATTGAGGACTTTGAAATAAGTAAATGTTGTGGGTTCCTGTAATTATGAAATTCAAGAGTGACTTAGCTACAATAAAGTTGATAAGTTGAATATAAGAGACGTGGCTTAGTCTGGGAAGGTGGCACGCCTCAGTTCACTATATTAGATTTCTGTGTTGGCCAACCTCTAGTATATCTGTGTGTTAGAGAAGCGTTAGGATGTGAGACCCGAGTAATATTCAGGTAAGTGTTCATCAAGATATTGTATTTATAATGATGCACTTATTATGTAATGTAAAATTTATATATACATTCTCCTATAAATGTGTATAGTTTGTGGACCAAATCGCTAATTAGTAAAGTCAGGTCATTAATAATCCATATACAGTCCACAAACCTAATTTACCAGTATTACTGGTCTAAATTTAATAATTCATAACTATTTAACCCCTTCAGGGTCCAAGGCCAAAATCTGAAGTGGTGCCCCAGTGTCCAAGAATTTTCAAAAAAAAAAAAAATTTATTTTTTCTTATGAAATGGTAGAGAATCTTTTTGTGAAGGTAATAAAACAAAAAGTACGAAATTTGATGGAAAATTGACGAAATTATGCTCTCGCGAATTTTGATGTGTCAGTGATATTTACAAATCGGCGATTTTGCCGACTTTGACTCCCATTTTAGGCCAATTACATCATTCCAGTCGACCAAATTCTTAGCTATTTCACTAGTATTACTTCTATTCTATCGATTGAGCACAAGAAATAGCCAAGTCAACTGTTTCAACTACAAAATAAAGTGATCGGAAATTGGTAATTTGGCCAGTTTAACACAAAGTTCAAAATATTCCAATTTCAAAATAGGGTCCAGAATAAACAATGTAGGTATTCCTGGCACTAAACTAACATTTCCTCGGTTCATTAGTTACGTTTTGAGTGAGGCTTTACAAATAAATCCCATTTTGATTTTTTATTCACATAATCAATTTTTATTCACACCAAAAAATAGAAGATTTACTGTTATGCAATATTGTAATAATTGTATAAATATCATCACCACATTTGTGAATGTATATTAGACCCACCAGCTGGCGTGTATTAGATGTGTGAGGTCGTTTGTTTAGTCTTGAACATCGGCAAAAATTTAACATTTCCGCTACTTTGAGCTCAGTTTCAAGCCATTTCCAGTGAAAAAACCAATCAAAATCATCTCTATTTCTGTAATATGTCTTCCATTCTATCAAATGAGACCAAGAAATTGCAAATACAACTATAAAAAACATACGAAAAAACACTGCAAAGTTGCTGTTTTAATCGAAAATCGTGGTTTCAGTTTTTTTCTCTCATTATACACAGTGTGCTGCATGATTTGTTTTATGTGGTGCACACATACCACATAGATGTATTCTCTCATATCTAGGCCCAAGTGTACCACTCAGAGTGAGCTGAGTTCATGACGTAGATCTACGGTTTGGACCCTCAACGTAAAGCCGTAGATCTATGGGACAGACCCTGAAAGGGTTAAAGGTCTGGCTTATGTGAGTGTGGGATGAGTTGGTGGGTATCGAAGGAGGGATACTGTTGTGACCTAGTGTTCCTAAAATCCTACCCATCTCTGAGGTACAACTAATATCTGCAAGTGTTGTGTCTGTTTTAATTGTGCCCTCCCCAAATGTGTGTGTAATAATTCAGGACTGTGCCTGTAAACTTCATACACATAATTTCTCACAGTAGTTATATTATGAGAAGAACCTGGAGTAAGAAACTTTTAAAAAAAAAAAAAAATGATCAAAGTATGAGGCAAAGTAGGAAGGTCTTAAGGTCTTTGTATTGTGAAGTAAAAAAAATTAAACCATTGTAATACCTAGTGTCATTAATATCTTTGTAAAGGATAATTAGCTGATTCAGTTAGTTTAATATCTTTATTATGCACCCCATACCCATCCTGTGGGTGGTAGTCAAGAGATTACAAACACACATTATGGATCCAGGAATTGGGACCCAATCATTCTGATGGCTAAGCAAGTTACAGTGGTAATGAACTATGTGTGAATTGGAAACAATGTTACTGAATAGTTTATGAATATATGAATTCAATCTCAAAATCATTGCAATGTAGATTATGTGTTTTCTGAATTATTTAAAATAAACAATATTTTATGATGGTATTGTTGAATTTAGAAAAGTTTAATTGGTTATGAGTTATTTACAACAGGCAAAGTCATGGTATTTTTCCAGAATGGTTGGAATTTGCGACTGTGGATAAAATATTTAACATTTTTTGAAAGTTTTGAGTGAGTTCTTTCTGAATTCATGAATGTTTTTTTTTGTTTTGCATTCTAATGTATAATGATGCAGGGTGTAAGGGCTTAAATCATTTCTAAATTTCAAAAATTTGTTGTAAAAAAAAAAAAAAAAAAAAAAGCCTGAATCATTTATAACTGAAGTCTCTATCATTCCCCAGATGGAATTCTTTTTATACAAATTCACATAAAATTGAGCTGCACAGACTATGGCAGTGATGGTTTCTGGTCCTAGACATGTCCAAGTATCATACTACATACCTATGCATACAGGGCAGATTTTTTTTTAACATGCCACATTGCATATTACGAAATAACTTGATATAGAGCATACTTTGACATACCTAGCTGAAATACCTGATTTCACACACCTAGCCAGATAGTTATACAAATCACTTTATTTTATACACAAAAGATTTATACTCATACTGTATAGTCATAAAAGTTATTAGATTTTATACACACAGTATTTATATACTGTAGTTTGTCATACAAATCATTGACAAGAGATTTATATGGAAAATCTATTCTCATATAAACTGTTTATATAATTCTAAAGCTATGTTATTGATACAGTGTTATTGTGTAAAAGATAAAAATTAATTGTATATATATTTCAAAATATGAATTAAGATACACAATATTTAATATTCAAAATTATCTTCTACCCTCATACAAAAATAGAATTTTTGATTGTCAGTTTGAGCCAAAATACATAATTTTATATATTATACAAATCTATAAAAGTATATTTTATGTATTGTTTATAATATTTCAATAGATAATTGTCTTCTTTGTAACTGAACAGAAGATAATAATGTTTTGTGCTAATTTGTGAGTAGTCTTGAGAAAATATATTAAACTACGATATAAAGTTCATCTTGTTAAATATACATTAAAGCCTAAATAAAGTCATAAGATATGATGTACCTGTCTAACTGTTACTGTTATTGCTTAATTCTGGCAAGTTCAAATATATTTACCTATAATATACAGGTGTTTTTGACAGGGTGCATGATGACCTATTCACTTATTTGATTTTCAAAATTAAGAGAGGGGCAATGTATTATTCAGAAATTATATTGCTCTAATTATAATGTTTCTAAGTGATATGGCAGAACAGTTATTTGAGGCATTTACTACCCCCCTCGTTGCCTGCCTGGGGGCCATAGTCCACTGCTCGAGAAACCTGATCTAATACACCTCCTTTGAACTTCAAGGTTGCAAAACCTATAGACATCTTTTGAGTCGACTAGGGATAATTAACCAGTGAGGTGAAGAGGTAAACAAATTCACCCTATGAGCAACATCTCATATTTATCTGAATTTTGAAAATATACAGTGGACCCCCGGATAACGATCAGCTCCCAACTCGACCAATTATGTAAGTTTATTTTTGTAAGTGCTTTTGTAGGTGTATTTTTAGGGGTCTGAAATGGACTAATCTAATTCACAATATTTCTTATGGGAACAAATTCGGTCTATAACGGCACCCAAACAGACTTCTGGATTGAAATAATATCGTTATGCGGGGGTCCACTGTATATTGAAAAGTTCATTGTTTTATTTTTTATTATATTTTGGAAACTGCTTTTTTTTATGGCAGTTCTTATAACCAATGTTAGGATAATGTTTAACTTTACTCTCCAGAGCACCTCATATGCTATATATGGAAGCCTCCGTCAACATAGTAATGAAGTATGTGGTTTTTCAAAGATTCTTATACTGTATTCAGGAATTTTGGGTTAATGTGAGCTCTTGGGTGTACAGCATGAGTTTTGGGCTGGTGTGTGCACAGTAGAACAATCCTGCCTCAGCTCACACCATACGTTACACATAAACCAAATTCTAAGAAATAACAAGAGGGTAATTAGACACTTAATTATTCCCAGAGTTTCCTTAGCTCCTGCTGAGCTTGACAACTACGTGACTCTGCCTAAACAAATACAACACTTCGGTACAAAACATCTCTAAATAAAGCTCTCAGGTGAAGACATTCATAAACATATATGGAGATCAAAATAACATTCTTAAGCAATTTCCATAATTCCTATGAATATCAATGAATTTCTTTCCTATTAACATATTTTTTTTATCAGAAAATTCAGTTCCAGTTACAGTGGGATTGCTAATATCTTGGATATGTGTACAGTGTGAGTGGCTTTGTGACCTGTGAGTGAGTATGATTGTACTTGGTAAGAATAAGTGGCTCCTGTGTGATCAACTGGAGTTTCTTCAATGGCTAAGCAGTGGTGGACTATGAGCAGGTGGAACCCTGGGCCAGCACTTATATATGCAAAATATTTATATATTTATACATTAAAATCTATTCATGTTTGTTATGGCTTAATATGTTGCACAAAAATATACTGTACACCAAAATTAGTTTGAGAATATAATGGTTCATTTCTTATGTTCCATTAAAGCCAATTTCTTGTATACAAAATACAGCCACGGAGCCCCTTACACCCAGGAGCTTCGGGGGCCTCTGAGGCAACTGCCGTTCTTGCCTTTACGTTATTCTGCCACTGTCAGGCTAAGCACATCTAATAATCATCTAGATGTTTATGGGTTTCTCTTCAGAACCGGGCCAGAGAAGGATGATTGTGGATGCGAGTCCTTCCAGTCACGGTACAAGTAGAAGGAGCCCACAGCATAGGTCAGCATATTGAAAACACCAAAAACCTGAAAAATAAAAATTGTTTTAAACTGTGAGTCTATAATGATAACTAACACATTAAGACTGTGACTAATTTTAACGGCTATTTTCTCACTCCACAGTTTTAGGTCAGATTTCTTTATTGAATGCCACAAACTGCCAGCAGCCTGTGCACGCACACACACACACACACACACACACACACATATATATCACAGCCTGTCTAATAAGCCATTTGTAGGAAATAGTTTAATTTCATCTTGAAACTTGTACTTTTGTTTCAGCAATACTTCTTCCATCTGATGATAGAACACTGATGAGCGAAAACAATTGAAATAAAGTAAATATATTATTATTATTATTATTATTATTATAATCAAGGGGGAAGCACTAAACCCGGAGGATTATACAGCACCTGGGGGGGGGATGTGGAAGGCATTCAGGCTTAATTCGGGGAACTGGAGCACAGATCCAATTCCCTAAATCAAGAGCCCCTCACCAACATCAAGGAACCTTCCTTGAGGGGAAAGTAAATATAGAATACCTGAATAAATTTAAGAATATAAGAATGAAGGAACACAGCAGCAGGCCTTCTGGCCAATTCTTTGCAGGCCCTTCTTAAACATTTCAGGGTTGGTGCCATACTAGTACACATAAATTCTAGCAGCTTCAAATTAAGCGGGAAACAACTGGTAGGCTTAGATGTGAGAGAATGGGTCTGCGTGGTCAGTGTGAGCAGTAGAAAAAAAATTCTGGGACCCAGTGGTGCATTGTGGGAACGCCATTTTAGTAGACCTTGTTCACCATGCCTCGCGGTAAGAAGCTCCTCACTCCTCAGCAAATTGGGACACTTGTGTTCCCCAGTGACAGTTCTAATACAGATGGAGCTGAGGGTGTCCCTCAGGGATGCGTTCTGAGCACAACACTTTTTCTCCTTGCTATAAATGATTTGGCCTCTAGTCTTCCATCCAATATTTGGTCATCACTCTATGTTGATGACTTCGCTATAGCTTGTGCAGGCGCTGACTGTCACCTCATTACAGTTTCTCTCCAGCATGCAGTCGACCGTGTTTCCAACTGGGCCACCACGCATGGGTTTAAATTTTCCAGTACCAAAACTCACCAAATTACTTTCACTAGACGCTCTGTCATCTCTGATCATCCTTTGTACCTCTATGGCTCACGTATCCCTGAACGTGATACAGTCAAGTTTCTAGGCCTTCTCTTTGACCGTAAGTTATCCTGGAAACCTCGCATTACCTCTCTGAAGGCAACTCGTCACAACCGGCTGAACCTTCTTAAAACCCTTGCTCATCTTTCATGGGGAGCTGATTGTTGAACTCTCCTTCACCTACATTCAGCCCTCATTTTATCGAAACTCGATTATGGTGATCAGATCTATTCAGCGGCTTCTCCTACTACTCTCTCGAGCCTTAATCCCATCCATCACCAGGGATTACGTTTGTGCCTTGGTGCTTTTCGCTCTTCCCCTGTTGAGAGCCTCTATGCAGAAGCGAATATTCCATCCCTGTCGGATCGCCATGATGCCCATTGCCTTCACTACTATGTTCACTCTCATGATCTCCGCAATCCTTCCATATATAGAATAGTCACCAATGTTAGTAGACATTCTTTATTTGTTCATCGCCCCAGTTTGCTCCGTCCCTTTTCTCTTCAACTACATTCGCTCTTGTCTTCCCTTCAGTTACCACCTGTCTATGTTCATGTAGCATCTCACTTTTCTCTACCCTCCCTGGGAAGTTCCAGCTGTTCGAGTCTGTTCTTTCTCACTCCCTTGCACGAAAGCCCAACTGCCTACGGTAGCTTCCCACTCCCTTTTTCTTGACCACTTCCGCTCTCATTTTCGTGCCATCGCAGTGTACACAGATGGCTCTAAGTCGGATTCGCAGCAGTGTTTCTGGACAGTGTCGTGCGAGGACATTTACTGTCCTCGGCTAGCATTTTTACAACTGAATTGTATGCCATTCTTGCAGCACTTATCCGTATTGCATCTATGCCTGTGTCATCATTTGTGGTTGTCTCAGACTCCCTTAGTGCTCTTCAGGCTATACGAAAATTTGATACACCTCACCCCCTAGTCCTCTGTATCCAACTTTGGCTAGGCCGTATCTCTACCAAGCATAAAGATATTGTTTTTGTTGGGTCCCTGGTCATGTTGATGTACAGGGCAATGAACAGGCAGACACTGCTGCGCGGTCAGCAGTACATGACCTACCAGTTTCATATAGAGGTGTTCCATTTACGGACTATTTTGCTGTAATAGCTACCCACCTTCACACCTGTTGGCAACAACATTGGTCTAATCTACTTGGTAACAAACTTCATTCTATTAAACCGAGTATAGGTTACTGGCCGTCTTCTTGTCATCAGTGTCGAGGTTGGGAAACTACTCTCTCCCATCTTCACATTGGCCACACTCATCTTACTCATGGGTACCTCATGGAGAGGCAGCCTGTTCCTCTCTGAGAGACATGTCAGGTTCCAGTATCGGTTAGCCACATTCTGTTAGACTGCCCTCTCTATCAACGAGCATGCAGAATTTACCTCCACTCGATTACTTCTTTACCTTCCCTTCTTGCTGATGGACCCTCCTTTAATCCTGACTCTCTCATTGACTTCTTAACAACAACTGATTTACTCCACAAACTCTGATGACGATACCTTTCACACTCCCCTCCGCCCTTTCTACCTCAATCTCTTGCTACCCTTTACCCCTGTACTATCCACTGCCCTGTTGTTCTCTGTACCCTACTAATTATCCCTCTCCCTTTTGCCACCTGATACCCCTGCTTCCTTCCTGCCCTGCAGCGCTGTATAGCCCTTGTGGTTTAGTGCTTCTTTTTTTATAATAATAATAATAATAATAATGATCTAATACAGATGGAACTGCCAGTGAAGATGAGTTTCAAGGTTTTGGTGAGGTTGTGACCAAAACTAATGACCATAATACCGGTAATAGTGAGGAAAACCCAGACGACCCTCAGCCTTCCACCTCTGCTGCTGGGCCGTCTTGTTCACGTTCAGTTGTACCAGAATCAAAGAGGAAACTCCTATTTTCCCAAATCCCAGACTCAGATGTGAGCATTGGTGATGATAGTGATAGTGAATATGAACTCCAAGCTCTTGAAAACAGTGCCAGTAGTGATAGTGAAGTGGAATATTCTCCAGTGAAGTGTCAGTATATACGACGATATGTGCGCTCTGGTAGTGTGCCATATGCTATTCCAAGGGGAAGGAGTACATCTCGGAGTACATTCCATGGCTGTACAACAGGAACAGACAGTGAAAATAAAGATGATAGTGTTGCAATTGGGATGGAAAATGTGCATGGTAGTGGTGGTGCCGGCTGTGAGGCACCAGCAGTGGGCCATGCTGCCACCCACGCCGCTGCCTCAGCTGATCTACAACAAAGGCCACCATCCCCCACCCACCCACCACAACCACCTGTCAATATCCAGTACCCACCAGCAGATCGCACCTGGGATTGGTAGGAAGCAGCCAATTTTGTTCCCAATCCCCATCACTTTGATGAAAGTCAAAGTGGAATACGGCCATCTTGTACACTTGGGAACAATGCCAGTGAACTGGAATGTTTCGAGTTATTCTTTGACGAACCCCTGATTGAAATTATTGTCAGGGAAAGCAACAGATACTACGAGTACACCATGGCAAACAATACTTTCACCAAGCTCACGGCTACACCAGTGGAAGGAGACAACTGTAGCTGAGATGTATCTTTGGTTTGCCACAATAATGCTTATGCCACGTGTGTATAAGCACAGTGTGAAATCATACTGGTTAACAGACTGCCTGATTGCAACTCCAGGTTTCAGTGATATAATAAGAGTGAATCGATTTGCGCTACTATGCTTCACTTAGACAAAACCAGGCCTGACAGAAACGACAGGTTATATAAGATTAGGAATGTGTTTGTGCATCTGAAACAGAAATTCAATATGTATTTTTATCCCTTCAGGAAGCTTGTTATTAATGAGTCTTTGATTCTGTTCAAAGGAAGACTCTCATTCAAGCAATACATACCAAGCAAGAGGAAACGCTTTGGTATAAAATTGTGTGTTGTAGTGTTTTAGAATCTCAGGTTCAAGTGTTGAAGGAGATTCTTCTACTTCAGGAGGAAAATAGGAGGCTGAAGCTTCACATCGATGAGTTTGGGAGTGTGTGTGAGAATGATTTAGCTGGTAAGGAGGAAATGGTCACCAGCAGTGATGGTGGCAGCCGCTTTAAGTGGCAAGTGGTTCACAGTTCAGGAAGAAGGAAGATGAGGAGAGTTCATAGAGAAGATGTGAAGATAGGAAATCGATTCTCTGTTCTCCAAAACGAGTGTACATCAGTGGTTAGTGAGTTTGAATGTACCACTGATTCCCCTGCTAATCAAGGTAAGAATATTTTAATAGGCGATTCTCAAGTAAGATATATATGGACTGTGCATTGTGTAACAGAGACAGAAAGGTCAGACAGAGAGTGTGCCTTCCTGGAGCTGGTGTTGGTGACATAGTCAGCAGGTTGGATAATATTATGGCAGGTAATGGGAACAAGCCCATTATCTGTCTTAGTGCTGGGGGTAATGACAATATGAAGGGCAGGAGAGAGGAGCTGCTGCATAAGTACAGGTCAGCCATAGAAGTAGTTAGGTCTAAGGGAGGGATCCCAGTCATATATAGCATCTTGCCTAGAAAGGGAGTGGGCAGTGAATGGATGTCTAGGGCAATTGGTATAAATTAGTTTCTTTTTTCTTGAAATACCAGATGTATACTGTGAATTTCATATAACCTGTAGTTACCAGTGGTCGCAATATACACAACGAGAAGCAATTATTACTACAGAAAAAGCGTCCTTCCTCCAAAATTTCCACCAGTCAACTATAGTGATAATATAGCATTTATTGTGGTGGAGACGAAAAAAAACTAGAAAAGCTAGATACAGCGATTGATAAACAAGGGTTGAGGCTCGACCGTTCGTCATTGTAGGAGCTCCCAGAAATCACCGGTTCTTCAACACGCAAGTTATACTTTTGTATCAATCAAATCACATATTACTCGGGTAGATAATTTCAAGTAGATCCTTCATGTGTTAGCCCAAATCACCGACCAGTATGTTTTAAATAAGTGACCCACTGATCAGATCAGACTGGTTCCAAACCCTTGACTGGTCCGAACCCTTGACTGGTTTCAAACGGATTCGTTAGACAATAAAGCAGACTGTAAACGGATGGGGTTGTAGGCGCCCTTATCAAACATAAACAATAAATATAAATCAGGAACGTACACGGTAAGCTGTCCAATATACAAGTACAGTTAGAAATAGATATACAAATAGCTAGAGCTTCATTTAAGGAGGTTATTAATAGAGTATTCAAGAGGTTGCTAGTAGAATTACAGTAAATCAACCATTCAAATCATTATGAAGCTCTGTGTAGTCTGCAGTCAATCGAACAAACGGGCTTCCACATGGATAAATTGTCATTTTTGTGGAAATTGGTGTCACGCCCCTTGTGCAGATATCCAAGAACTAGCTACAAGCAGTATTAAAACAGGGAAGTGTTTTTGGGTATGCCCAAATGAGATAAATCTGTGGACTAAAATCACAAGGGTATTAAAAGAGGATAACATCAAAGCTGCTTTCATAGAAAACCTGGAAGCTTTCTACAACAGATGGGAACATAAAAAGTCTGGGCTGAATGGTACTGCCCTTGATACTGGCCATGTAGTCAGAAACTGTAAGGCTGGAGGTGATGTCCTGGTAGTCAGTAAATGTGGGGCTGATAGTGCTGTCCTGGGAGACAGTAATGGTGAAGCTGGAGGTGCTGTCCTGGGAGACAGTAATGGTGAAGCTGGAGGTGCTGTCCTGGGAGACAGTAATGGTGAAGCTGGAGATTTTGTCCAGGTAGTCGGGAATTATACGCAGGAAGGAATACATATAAATGACCTCATAGGGGACAGGAGCCGTAGTGGGGAAACAAGTGTATTCAAAGACAAGATAAAACCAATATTGCAAACTAGAAATACCACAGGAAATAGCAAACAAGAGGACTCCACTAGCAATAGTGAGGATATATTACCAAAAACAACTGGTGGGAGCTCCATTGTTGGTGCTAGGGAGGATAGGAATAAGACAGGGAAACATGCACCAACAGGGTATACAGTCACAGAAACCCAAGGCAAACAGAAACCAAGCCTGTGCACATACTATGCACTTGGTATCTGCAGACATGGGAAATCTGGAAAAACAGACGAGACGTGCAGCTATGACCACCCTAGAAAATGCCATGCCCATATGACAACAGGAAAATGCAAACTCCCTTCCTGTAAGCTTTTTCACCCTGAAATGTGTACCTCTTCAGTACAGGAAGGCCCCGCTTTACGGCGTTTCACTTTACGGCGTTCCGCTAATACGGACATTTCAAATTATGACCAAAACTCACTATACGGCTCCCCCCACCTGACTTTCTAATACGGTCACCGTGCCCCACCCTGTTTGTTTACATTCTCCATGAGCTCAGTAAGCACTAAGCCTCTCCATTTTGTCTGGAAACTCCAAAATTTCAAATGTTTTTAAAAGTTATTTCATATTTTATATATACTCTGATAATTATACTTATGTATACCTGTACCTAAATAAACTTACATACATCGAGTCATTTAAATGTCGTATATTACGTTAATATACACATTTTCATTAATCCATCCATGATATTTTTTTCAAAATTATATAATAAACACGATGCATAACATATAAATAAGATAAATACACCCCACAGTAGAATAAATAAACAAATGTGAGATGTGAGCAGACGACTTGCACAAGTGGTGATAATAACAATACTGAGTCTCATTAAATGTCGTATATTACGGTAATATACACATTTTCATTAATCCAGCCATGATATTTTTTTCAAAATTATATAATAAACACGATGCATAACATATAAATAAGATAAATACACCCCACAGTAGAATAAATAAACATAAATGTGAGCTGTGGTAGCAGACGACTTCCACAAGTGGTGATAATAACAATAGTCACGGAGTCTCATTAAATGTCGTATATTACGGTAATATACACATTTTCATTAATCCAGCCATGATATTTTTTTCAAAATAAACACGATACATAACATAAAAAGATGATAAATACACCCCACAATAGAATAAATAAACATAAATATAAGATGTGGGAGCCTGGTTTGTTTACATAACTCTGCTTCTGTTACCTCATGTACTCATTCTTTCTCTCTCTCATTTATTCGTTTTATCTCATTTACTTACTCCTGACCCTACATTAAGACTACAAATATTTTAAGGTAAGTAATAAGTGAACTGTATATACATTTTATCGCTCTGGGATGCTTAAATATCATAGAACAGTATGTGTGGGTGGGGTGGCCTGGTAAGATAGCCTGGCTATTACAATACATACCACACTTGATTTCTTACAATAAATACTACTTGTCTCACCCTAGATTAAGACTATAAATATTTTAAGGTAAGTAATGAGTGCACTATGTGTGTATTGTACCTTTTTATTGTTTTTTGATGCCTGGTTCTATTGCTAACTTAATATATGTTAGTGTAAACTTGTTATCTAGTGTTTGTATGCATTTATAAGTGGAAAAAAAGGGTGTTCCACTTTACGGCGATTTCCGCTTTACGGCGGTAGCCTGGAACCTAACCCGCCGTATAAGTGGGGCCTTCCTGTACAGGAAAGACTGTGCAATAACTTAAATTGCCAGGCACACCATTTAAAGGGGACAAAAAGATACAAAACATCCAGGCCATGGGAAAACCTGGGTAGCCACAGCCACTCAAGAGGGAGAGGTTTTTTAGTGCCAGGAAGGAAAAAAAACTGGCAGGAAATGGCAGAAATCATACACCAAATCCAGTCATTCCTGGAGTGGAACCACAGTCGATGGCCTCCACTCCAAACCAACAGATACAGATACTAATGCCGGAAAAAAAATCCCCCCCCCAGTACCAACAATACCACCAGTCCGATGACATTCTTCTTTGCAAATATACAGGGTCTAAAGCCAGCAACAAACAACAAAATACCTTTCATCCGTGGACTGCTTGCAGAGGCAAAGGCAATGTTCGCGGCTTTCACTGAGACCCACATAAAGGATCACTTGGACAACAAAATATGGATCCCAGGTTACAACCTATACAGATGTGACAGAGTGAACAGGCAAAAGGGGGGGGGGGGTTGGCCTGTACATTGCAGAGTCACTTGTTTGCACAGAACTGCTTAATGCCTCAAATGATGTAGTGGAAGTTTTAGCAGTAAAGGTCGAGAACCAAAACCTAGTCATTGTGGTAGTCTACAAGCCTCCGGATGCAACATCCCAGCAATTCCAGGAACAGCTGTGAAAAATTGACCACTGTCTGGAAAATCTTCCAGCTCCTGCACCCAACATCTTGCTCCTGGGGGATTTCAACTTAAGGCACCTAAAATGGAGGAATATAGCAAATAATATTACCTGGAGTTTACCTGGAGAGAGTTTCGGGGGTCAACGCCCCCGCGGCCCGGTCTGTGACCAGGCCTCCTGGTGGATCAGCGCCTGATCAACCAGGCTGTTGCTGCTGGCTGCACGCAAACCAACGTACGAGCCACAGCCCGGCTGATCAGGAACTGACTTTAGGTGCTTGTCCAGTGCCAGCTTGAAGACTGCCAGGGGTCTGTTGGTAATCCCCCTTATGTGTGCTGGGAGGCAGTTGAACAGTCTCGGGCCCCTGACACTTATTGTATGGTCTCTTAACGTGCTAGTGACACCCCTGCTTTTCATTGGGGGAATGGTGCATCGTCTGCCAAGTCTTTTGCTTTCATAGTGAGTGATTTTCGTGTGCAAGTTCGGTACTAGTCCCTCTAGGATTTTCCAGGTGTATATAATCATATATCTCTCCCTCCTGCGTTCCAGGGAATACAGGTTTAGAAACCTCAAGCGCTCCCAGTAATTGAGGTGTTTTATCTCCGTTATGCGCGCCGTGAAAGTTCTCTGTACATTTTCTAGGTCGGCAATTTCACCTGCCTTGAAAGGTGCTGTTAGAGTGCAGCAATATTCCAGCCTAGATAGAACAAGTGACCTGAAGAGTGTCATCATGGGCTTGGCCTCCCTAGTTTTGAAGGTTCTCATTATCCATCCTGTCATTTTTCTAGCAGATGTGATTGATACAATGTTATGGTCCTTGAAGGTGAGATCCTCCGACATAATCACTCCCAGGTCTTTGACGTTGGTGTTTCGCTCTATTTTGTGGCCAGAATTTGTTTTGTACTCTGATGAAGATTTAATTTCCTCATGTTTACCATATCTGAGTAATTGAAATTTCTCATCGTTGAACTTCATATTGTTTTCTGCAGCCCACTGAAAGATTTGGTTGATGTCCGCCTGGAGCCTTGCAGTGTCTGCAATGGAAGACACTGTCATGCAGATTCGGGTGTCATCTGCAAAGGAAGACACGGTGCTGTGGCTGACATCCTTGTCTATGTCGGATATGAGGATGAGGAACAAGATGGGAGCTAGTAATGTGCCTTGTGGAACAGAGCTTTTCACCGTAGCTGCCTCGGACTTTACTCTGTTGACGACTACTCTCTGTGTTCTGTTAGTGAGGAAATTATAGATCCATCGACCGACTTTTCCTGTTATTCCTTTAGCGCGCATTTTGTGCGCTCTTACGCCATGGTCACACTTGTCGAAGGCTTTTGCAAAGTCTGTATATATTACATCTGCATTCTTTTTGTCTTCTAGTGCATTTAGGACCTTGTCGTAGTGATCCAGTAGTTGAGACAGACAGGAGCGACCTGTTCTAAACCCATGTTGCCCTGGGTTGTGTAACTGATGGGTTTCTAGATGGGTGGTGATCTTGCTTCTTAGGACCCTTTCAAAGATTTTTATGATATGGGATGTTAGTGCTATTGGTCTGTAGTTCTTTGCTGTTGCTTTACTGCCCCCTTTGTGGAGTGGGCTATGTCTGTTGTTTTTAGTAACTGAGGGACGACCCCCGTGTCCATGCTCCCTCTCCATAGGATGGAAAAGGCTCGTGATAGGGGCTTCTTGCAGTTCTTGATGAACACAGAGTTCCCTGAGTCTGGCCCTGGGGCAGAGTGCATGGGCATGTCATTTATCGCCTGTTCGAAGTCATTTGGCGTCAGGATAACATCGGATAGGCTTGTGTTAATCAAATTTTGTGGCTCTCTCATAAAAAATTCATTTTGATCTTCGACTCTCAGTCTGGTTAGTGGCTTGCTAAAAACCGAGTCATATTGGGACTTGAGTAGCTCACTCATTTCCTTGCTGTCATCTGTGTAGGACCCATCTTGTTTAAGTAGGGGCCCAATACTGGGCGTTGTTCTCGATTTTGATTTGGCATAGAAGAAGAAATACTTTGGGTTTCTTTCGATTTCATTTATAGCTTTTAGTTCTTCCCGCGATTCCTGACTCCTAAAGGATTCTTTTAGCTTAAGTTCGATGCTTGCTATTTCTCTGACCAGTGTCTCCCTGCGCATTTCAGATATATTGACCTCTTTTAGCCGCTCTGTTATTCTTTTCCGTCGCCTGTAAAGGGAGCACCTGTCTCTTTCTATTTTACATCTACTCCTCCTTTTTCTTAGACGAATAAGCTTTGTGCATACATCGAGTGCCACCGAGTTAATCTGTTCTAGGCATAAGTTTGGGTCTGTGTTGCTTAGTATATCTTCCAGCTTATATCGGTTAGGACTTGGTTTACTTGGTCCCACTTTATGTTTTTGTTATTGAAGTTGAATTTGGTGAATGCTCCCTCGTGACTAGTCTCATTTTGTCGGTCTGGGGCTCCTCGCATACATGTCTGAACCTCAATTATGTTGTGATCTGAGTATATTGTTTTTGATATGGTGACATTTCTTATCAGATCATCATTGTTAGTGAATATGAGGTCTAGTGTATTCTCCAGTCTAGTAGGCTCTATTATTTGCTGGTTTTAAATTTAATTTTGTGCGGAGATTTAAAAGCTCGTGTGAGTGTGAGTTTTCATCAGAGCTGCCTCCTGGTGTTATTACTGCAACAATATTATTTGCTATATTCCTCCATTTTAGGTGCCTTAAGTTGAAATCCCCCAGGAGCAAGATGTTGGGTGCAGGAGCTGGAAGATTTTCCAGACAGTGGTCAATTTTTAACAGCTGTTCCTGGAATTGCTGGGATGTTGCATCCGGAGGCTTGTAGACTACCACAATGACTAGGTTTTGGTTCTCGACCTTTACTGCTAAAACTTCCACTGTTGCAGTAATAACACCAGGAGGCAGCTCTGATGAAAACTCACACTCACACGAGCTTTTAAATCTCTGCACAAAATTCAATTTAAACCAGCAAATAATAGAGCCTACTAGACTGGAGAATACACTAGACCTCATCTTCACTAACAATGATGATCTGATAAGAAATGTCACCATATCAAAAACAATATACTCAGATCACAACATAATTGAGGTTCAGACATGTATGCGTGGAGCCCCAGACCGACATAATGAGACTAGTCACGAGGGAGCATTCACCAAATTCAACTTCAATAACAAAAACATAAAGTGGGACCAAGTAAACCAAGTCCTAACCGATATAAGCTGGGAAGATATACTAAGCAACACGGACCCCAACTTGTGCCTAGAACAGATTAACTTGGTGGCACTCAATGTATGCACAAGGCTTATTCCTCTAAGAAAAAGGAGGAGTAGATGTAAAACAGAAAGAGACAGGCGCTCCCTTTACAGGCGACGGAAAAGAATAACAGAGCGGCTAAAAGATGACAAGGATGTCAGCTACAGCACCGTGTCTTCCTTTGCAGATGACACCCGAATCTGCATGACAGTGTCTTCCATTGCAGACACTGCAAGGCTCCAGGTGGACATCAACCAAATCTTTCAGTGGGCTGCAGAAAACAATATGAAGTTCAGCGATGAGAAATTTCAATTACTCAGATATGGTAAACACGAGGAAATTAAATCTTCATCAGAGTACAAAACAAATTCTGGCCACAAAATAGAGCGAAACACCAACGTCAAAGACCTGGGAGTGATCATGTCAGAGGATCTCACCTTCAAGGACCATAACATTGTATCAATCGCATCTGCTAGAAAAATGACAGGATGGATAATGAGAACCTTCAAAACTAGGGAGGCCAAGCCCATGATGACACTCTTCAGGTCACTTGTTCTATCTAGGCTGGAATATTGCTGCACACTAACAGCACCTTTCAAGGCAGGTGAAATTGCTGACCTAGAAAATGTACAGAGAACCTTCACGGCGCGCATAACGGAGATAAAACATCTCAATTACTGGGAGCGCTTGAGGTTCCTAAACCTGTATTCCCTGGAACGCAGGCGGGAGAGATACATGATTATATACACCTGGAAAATCCTAGAGGGACTAGTACCGAACTTGCACACGAAAATCACTCACTACGAAAGCAAAAGACTTGGCAGATGATGCAACATCCCCCCAATGAAAAGCAGGGGTGTCACTAGCACGTTAAGAGACCATACAATAAGTGTCAGGGGCCCGAGACTGTTCAGCTGCCTCCCAGCATACATAAGGGGGATTACCAACAGACCCCTGGCAGTCTTCAAGCTGGCACTGGACAAGCACCTAAAGTCGGTTCCTGACCAGCCGGGCTGTGGCTCGTACATTGGTTTGCGTGCAGCCAGCAGCAACAGCCTGGTTGATCAGGCTCTGATCCACCAGGAGGCCTGGTCACAGACCGGGCCGCGGGGGCGTTGACCCCCGGAACTCTCTCCAGGTAAACTCCAGATAGGTACTGCAAGGAACTTGCAATCCCATTCATTGATAACTGGGACCTATTCTTTGGCAAACATGATATGTATGCAAGGGATGGGGTTCATCTCTCTGGGGATGGAGTGGTTGCATTAGCCAATTTGACTGAGAGGGTAATTGATAACTTGTCTAGGAATTTAAACTGATAGATTATAGAGGTATGGGTGTTTGTGGGAAAGAATCAGGCTGCAGCATTAGGGTTAAAAACAGCAGTTATTACCGGGATACCTCAGGGATATGTTTAAAAAACAATATTCAAAATAAAGTTGATAGTAATGGCAAGTCAATTGATCAACAAACAAAGAGAGATAGTAGAGGGCAACGAGTGACTAGCTCCCTTAAGGTTTACTATACAAATAGTAGGAGTCTAAGAAATAAGATAGATGAGCTAAAATTACTTGCAAGTGCAGGTAATATAGATATTATTGGTATAACAGAGACCTGGTTCAACCTGAAAGCTAGAGAAATGTCTTCTGAATGCAACATACAGGGTTATAAACTATTCCACACTGATAGGGTCAACAGGAAGGGTGGTGGGGTGGTGATGTATGTCAGAGAAAATTTAAATTGTCTTAGATATGATATAAGATTAGAAGCATCGAACACAGAATCTGTTTGGCTACATTTTCTCGAGGGACGTGACAAATTAATTTTGGGTGTGATTTATAGGCCCCAAACCTTGATAGGGAGTGCAGTAAGCTGTTATGGGACGAAATTCATAAGGCATCTAGATATGAAAATGTTGTCAAAATGGGAGATTTTAACTTTAGACAAATTGATTGGAACAATATGACAGGATATCTTGAGTCTAGCAACTTTCTTGATACGGTTCAGGATTGCTTTTTAAACAGGTTGTGACAGAACCAACTAGAGGAAACAATTTGCTTGACTTGGTTCTTGCCAACAAAGATTCACTAATTAATAATCTTGAGGTTAATAATGAGCTTGGGGAAAGTGATAACAAATCACTTAGCTTCAATATATCATGGAATTACCCAGATAACTGCAATCAAATCTCTGTCCCAGATTTTTGCTTGGCCGACTTCATGGGACTGAAAAATTACCTGGGTGGGCTAAATTGGGGTGTCCTGACTATGGATCAGGTAGGTGATCTTGGTTGCCAATATGACGTTTTTCAGAGCATAGCTCTAGCTGCCCAGACAACTTTTGTTCTGAGTAGGGAAATTAGATCTAAAAAAAATGATCCCAAATGAAAGAACAATAGATTAAAACATCTCGCTGGTCTAAAGAGAGGCATATATAGGCGTATCAAAAGAGGGGATGGGCAGTTAAGAAATCAATATATTCAATTAGAGAGAGAAATAAAGAAA